CAGGTGAGTTTGTACTATACAGATTGTGTTCGGTGTTCAGGAAGACTTATATGTTTATATTGTACTACCTCTTAGGAGGACACATGTTCAGTACCGTAGCTGTATTTTGGTCATATTCGTTGCACTATATGATGTTTTCTTCTTATTGCATGGCGTAGCTTGCAGGTTTAGTTATTTGAGTATTGACAGTTTTTTCACAGTACTATATACTCTAGGAGATGTTACAGTTTTCGTAATATTTATAATATGTGGGCACGTTGCCACTTCAGAAACCTTTCACTTTTTTCTTTTTCTTTCAGCATGAATGTCTTCTCTACGGGACAAAGTTTCACCTTCCATGCCGCTTGACCATGGAATCGCCGGAGTTGGTTTTTCTCCGCTACGTTTGTTGAAATGTTAACGGACTAAGTTTATGTTGTTGTTGTTTATCATTCGCTTCAAAGAAAGAGGAAGTGATGTCATAGACAGGGCCTTTTATGGGCACCATATCTTTTCTATGATTGGTTGTTACTGTTTCTATGCTGCTGGAGTTTTCAGTAAAGAAAGATATGCAAATACTCGCCTCCTGTCATTACTAAAATTAAGATTATTAGTACACTAAAGCTAATATAATCTTCAATTATCAAAGAAACTGCTGTTTCTCTCTTTCATTTTAATCTGGCCATTTACACCTGCAGTTGTTGTTTGTTTTTAATAAATGTAGCCAATTAACTGGCAGATTCTTATCTAGATTTTTGTTTGTGGATGAATGGTGCCCTTTGGTTCAGTGATGGTAGAAAGTTGGAAGTGCTATATTTTGGGTAGAAACCATGTAATAACTCTCTGTGCCCAGACTCATTTTCATTCATCCTTTCCTGTTACTTCACTGTCCAGTCTAAGCATAGATTTTCTTTTCCCTTCCATTTTGTTTAACGTTTCCACCATGATGGTACCATGGGGCATTAAGTTCTATAGCAATCCATGTTTACCATGGTCTCTAGTACCACCTCAGAGGATTTGACTGCCACAGATTGCACCCATGGCACAGATTGACCATTATTATTATTCTTATTTGGTAACACAGCAGCTTTATATATAATTAATAACGCATGAAACTATCTACAGACCATATTCATTTATTTAGTGGTTAATTTGTTTTCAAAATACTTGTAATTACACTATGTCATTTTCCATGTGTTACAGGAGCACTCCAAACACTAGAACCATCACAATACACTGTGGTGGTTATAATGCCAGGAGTGCCCTGGTGTGCCCCCATTGTAAGTTGTCAAACCATTTTAGAAAAGTTTGGCTTCTTACTCGGGGTCTGTCAGCTGAGGCTACTTGCATCTTCTCAGCCTTCAGGAGCTTCCATTAGCTATCCTGAGCTACTTGACATAGAACTTCCAGCTAGAGCAGTGCTTGACAAACACCAGGTTAGAAGTCAAATCTTTTTTAAAACCTTTGCTTACATTGGGAGGTCATCAGGGCACTCTTAGAACCATAATCACTACATTGCACTGTAGTAGTTGTGGTGCTCGAAGTGCTCCTTTAAGTACATTTCATTCATTCATAACATTAATGTTCTTTTCAGTGTTGTGACTTTGTACTTTTACCCTCTTAATAATTTAGGCTTTTTAATATTATTGTTGTTTGTTCCACCATAATTTAACACTTTGCACACATAATATAACCTATACAGTTTTTAAAGGACCAATAGGATTATAAGTATACTTAACAAACTGCTAGTTATAAACATAATAAAAACATGGGAATGTGTAAAAAATAAAAACAAAATCATATATATATGTTTAGAACATTTTGGAAGCTATTGACAAATATGGCAAGCAGTGAAATGTGGTTTTAAAATTAAATCTTTAAGTATCAGCATGCAATTTAGATAAACAGTAATAGCAGTCACAGGGTTTATATACAAAAGTATATAGAATATATATTTGTAGAAAATTTAACTATTAACTAAATTTGTAGATATTTAACTATTAATATCTTAACAGCTTGCCTCTTTACTTGCCTCCCATGTACGCTATTTGATGGTAACATTGTCTGTGATGCTATGACTTGGATGCTATTTCTAATCCTCCCTTAGCCTTAAAGGACCACTATAGTGCCAGGAAAACAAACTTGTTTTCTTGGCACTATAGGGTCTTTAGGTCCCCTCCACCCTTAGGGTCTCACTCCCGCTGGGCTTAAGGGGGCTAAAGGGGTTAAACACTTACCTTTCTCCAGCGCTGGGCTCCCTCGGCGCTGGGGAACTCTCCTCCCTCTCCCGACGACAGCAAGAGCCGCGCGCACATTCAGACAGTCCATAGGAAAGCATTTCTCAATGCCTTCCTGTGGATGTCCAGCGTCTTTTCACTGTAATTTTCACAGTAAGAAGCGCGGAAGCCACTAGAGGCCACTAGAGGCCACTAGAGGCTGGATTAACCCTAGTGTAAACATAGCAGTTTGTCTGAAACTGCTATGTTTACAGCTGCAGGGTTAACACTACAGGGACCTGGCACCCAGACCACTTCATTGAGCTGAAGTGGTCTGAGTGCCTACAGTGGTCCTTTAAAGGGATTCTATAGTGCCAGGAAAACAAAGCAGTTTTAGAAACTGTAGAAACCTATAGTGCCAGGAAAACAGAGCAGTTTTAGAAACTATAGAAACCTACAGTGCCCACAGTGATTTACTTACCTGAATCCAGAGCCGCTGTCCCTCAGCGCAGGGTCAGGCTCTGTCCACACTCCTCCCTCGCCGACATCAGCCAGCGGGGAAGACCTAATGTGTATGCATGGCGATGGCCGCGCTCACATTAGTATTTACCCATAGGAAAGCATTATTCAATGCTTTCCTATGGGGAAAAATCTGGCGCTGGAAGTCCTCATGCAGAATATGAGGAATTCCAGCGTCAAATACCGGACCACAGGTCCGTTTCAATTCAGGAGGTGGAGTTAACCATCAGAGATAATTATTGCAGTTTCTCAAAAACTTAAATAATTACCACTGTTGGGTTAAGGGACATGGGACATTGCACCCAGACAACGCCAATGAGCTGAAGTGGTCTATGTGCCTACAGTGTCCCTATAAGTCTAATTGTTACTCAAACCCTAACCCTAACTATACAAACTAGTTGATTGACCCCCACATTGATTGATCGTTATGGGAGGCAATCAGAGTAATGACATGCCTTAAGTTCATTTTAAGACAGGTCATTCATGTGATTGTCTCCCAGGGGAATTGGTTCGTCAGGGTTCCAATTCTGGACTGTTGCTGGACTGCCTCATTGTGAGGTTATCCACTAGTAACCAACTGACAGCTGATAACAGTAGGCACAGTGGCAGCAGACCAACTTTCATAAAATTGTACACATAAGTTCTAAAAAAACAAGACAGGTACCCTTTAATAAAGGTGCTTATTTGTATATATGCCACACTAGGGGGTATACTCATGCCTTCAAGAACCACAAAGGCACTGAAGTGTGAAAGAAAGTAGGCCTGGGCAGCCAAGAGGAAATTTCCTCTTGATGCGACAATTAAATTTTTCATGGTCAAGGCCGCCTAAGATGAAAATAAATACCTTGTTGACTGCATTGTTTCCAGTGTAAGTCTATGTGTAATGTGTGCATCTTATAATGTTTGATAGGTGTTAAGTATGTTATTTCTAGAGTTGAGCGAAAACCTGTTCGGGTCTGGCGGGTTCGGCTGAACTTCGGGAAAAAAATTCCGGGTTCGGGATCGAACTTGACCCCGAACCCGAGCCCCATTGAAGTCAATGGGGGCCAAACTTTTGGGCACAAAAATGGCTCTAAAAAAGTCCTTGAAAGGGCTAGAAGGCTGCAAAAGGAAGTAAAATGGGGGTAAGAGTAGAACAAATGCCCTGCAAACAAATGTGGATAGGGAAATCACTTAAAATAACCTAAAAAATGTACCTAAAAATTAAAAATACAGCTGAGCCATAAAATAGCACTAGATGGATTCTTTGATTTTAGCTTTGGAAGAACATAAATCAAAATCTAAAGCATTGCTGTCAGGAGGATCACCAGAATTATCCATTTGAGAGAGGGTTGGATTGCAGGGTATTCTCTTTCATTGTTCAAACTGAGCTCAACTCCTGATGCATGGAGAAAAGGCCTTCACAAGTGTCTGTTATTTTGTACATAGTTTATACTAAGTGACCCATAGGTTGAGGAGGCGGTGACCGTGGAGGAGTAGGTGGAAGCTGCGGTGGAGGAGGAGGAGGTAGCCAACACTGTTTTTTATTTGCTTGTTTTTTGTTTGTTTTTTTAATTGGGGTAGCCCCCAAAATATTGGTACATATAAAAAATAAACATTTGCGGCCTACGGTGCATTTCTTGCAGTCCAATAGTGCCATCTGGTTTTTAAAACTGTCCGTCTCCACCAGACGGAATGACAGCATTTCAAAGGCCAGGAATTTTGAAATGCTGGCATTCAGGGCCAGGGATCAGGGGTGGGTAGGGGGGTACTTCCTCTTTCTCTCCAGTGTTTGGGTGATGGACAGCTGAACGCTCCCATGGGACAGTGTGGAGATGCTTGGGGACGGTGGCGAACGTGGTGGCGTTGCTGCCACATCCTCTGTTTGCGGGGTGGCAGCTGCCAGTGTCACTCCAGAGGTGGAGGAAGAGCCCGAGACAGTAGCAGAAGAGGAAGCAGAAGGAGCCTGAGACCTTTCTTGGTTTTTGAGGTGCTTACTCCACTGCTGTTCGTGCTTTGCATGTAGATGCCTGGTCATGCAGGTTGTGCTCAGGTTTAGCACGTTTATGCCTCGCTTCAGGCTCTGATTGCACAGCGTGCAAACCACTAGTGTCTTGTCGTCAGCACATTGTCTGAAGAACTTCCACGCCAGGGAATTCCTTGGAGCTGGCTTTAGTGTGCTTGGTCCCTGAGTGCGGTGGGCAGTAGCAGGCATACTGTCTAGGGGATGGCCGCTCCGCTTTTGCACCCTGCTCTAGGAGGAGGCGGATGTGGAGTAGGAGGTTGAGGAGGCGGTGACCGTGGCGGTGTAGGTGGAAGCGGCGGTGGAGGCAGAGGAGGTAGCCAACACTGTTTTAAATTTTTTTATATATTTTTTTTTTATTGGGGTAGCCCCCAAAATATTGGGACATATAAAAAAAAAAAAAAAATAATAAGTGCACTTGAGTATAACAATGGCTGGGTGAGGCCGGTATAAATGTCTATTCTGCCTGGTTCATTTTGATAAACGTGAGCTTGTCCACATTGGCCGTGGACAGGCGGCTGCGCTTGTCTGGGATAACCTCGTGCCGATCGCACGTCCCCGTGACGGCAAAAACGCATTCGGATGTCTTCCCTATCAACTTTCGATGTAATTTTCTGCACCTACCATGGTGACCATGGGTAACGGGGAATCAGGGTTCGATTCCAGAGAGGGAGCCTGAGAAACGGCTACCACATGCAAGGAAGGCAGCAGGCGCATAAAATTACCCACTCCCAACACGCGGGAGGTAGTGATGACAAATAAAAATACACTACTCTTTCGAGGCCCTGTAATTGTAATGAGTCCACTTTAAATCCTTTAACTTGGATCAATTGGAGGGCAAGTCTGGTGCAGAGCGACTGACCCGTGAGTGCTGCAGCTGAAGCTTCACTATCGCCTGCTGCTGCTTGCTGAAGCTGCATCAGGGTCCTGGTATGTGGCTGCACAAACGCTGGTGCTCAACACCAGGGGGCGTGCGGTTACCCTGCACCAGACCCTGCTATTTCATTCCATTCATTAATAATGATAATACCTACAAATCCTAAGGTTTTTTTCCATTTTTTAATATATTAAGATTTTTCGTTGTTTAGTGGAAGATACCCTCTATACCAAAGATTTTTTTGATACAAGGCTGCCACCTAGTGAATTTATTTATATCGCAATCACTGCTTTTCTGTATTCAAAGATTTTTTGTATTTTTGTATTTCATTATTCTATCAGTTTATGTGCTTATAAGTGGTTCCTAGTGTATATTTTAGAGTTTTTAACGTTCTGCTTAGATTATCTTTTATAAGATTATTCCCAACAGTTTGTAGCATCTGGTAAGAGATGTCCTAGTACGTGTAGGCTTTTCCACCTATTATTATTCATTTGAATTTTTAAAACTGCAATGTAAGCACAATATTTGACGGTTCTATTTGACTCTCAGATATGAAGTGCACCGCAGGCTGCAAATGTACTATTTAGCACCAAAAAGTTTGATTTTTTAAACCAACAATGTAACAGTAGTATTTAAGGGTTTTATTGGATTGCAAGAAATGTAGTACGCAAATGTATTATTTAGCACCAAAAAAATTGCAGTATTTAAAAATGCCTAGATGTTGCCCACTGATCTACCAGACCAGGATTAAAGTAATGTGCCTGGCACACATGCAATTGCAAGTGCACTGCACTCTCTGTGGCACTGGGCTTAGGGCAGGGTACAAAAATGTAGTATAGCACCCACAAAAATAATCGCTGTAGTTTGAATAATGGCTGTAGTTTGCAGATTCAACACCAGAATTCTTTCCTAATCTGTCCCTTACAGCTGCAGCATCCTCTCCCTACACTAATAAGAGCTCATGTGCGTGCGGCGCTACGCGACTTCAGCTAATATATAGAGGCTGGGTCACATGCTGCACTGGCCAATCACAGCCATGCCATTAGTAGGCATGGCTGTGATGGCTTCTAAGGGCACACGAGTCAAACGCTTGTTGATTGGCTGCCCTGCAGCCTTTCAAAACGTGCCATTAAATCGCCGAACACCGAACTCCAACCCGAACATACACTGATATGTCAGTGTTCAGGTCCGGGGTCCAAAAAAACGTAATGTTCGGTACAAACCCGAACTTTACAGTCCGCTCAACTCTAGTTATTTCTGATGAGGTTTTTTTTTGTTTGCAGATTTGATCATTTTGGCTAAAGTTTGGTTTACAATCAAAGTTATGGTTTTTTTTTTATGTAACTTTCTGTTTGACTAATTGTCTTGTTTGTTGACATATTCAATCCTCAATCCCCAAATTATTATTATGCATGGAAAGCAATATGAATAAGACAAACATAGACATTTGTTTTACAAATTCTTAGTTAGTGCTCATATTTCTATTTTTATTTTGTGTGCAGTTATTGATATGGTCATTTTTAGACATTTTTAAAAAATAGCATGTTAAAAATAAAACTAATATATTTCACATTTTTAGCATAATTTCTTACGGATATCATTTGATGACTCCATGTTGCTTGGTGCTGAAATTAAAAAACAAATAACATTTAATATCACAACTCTTTCTAGTTATCATTATGAATACGCCAAGGTTAATTTATTTGGACAATCCAACAACTGAAAACAAATCTATCTTATTTTCCTGATATCTAAAACACATTGCGTCCATTATTTAGAAATACATATGAATCAATCATGTTTACATTCATTAAACAATATTTAAAATAAGAAACATGACTACATGTCATAAAAAAATATTTCCGTCAATGTTAGATACATCTTACAAAATAGTATTTTGACCGTGTTTTATAATTATTCCTAAAAAGAGTTTAGTTTAATTTTATTTCTTGTGTTTCTATTTTGTTTCTGTGGGGATGGGCAGCAGCACCAAATATTTTAGGTTCATTAGGGTCCCAAAAGTTGTAATACCAAGTTCTGGCTGCAGGCACAGTAGAGATTCTCTGTTAAGGTGTTACATCACACAGCCCAAGTTATAGTCCAAACAAATATAAATGCTAAACACACACACACACAAAAAGAAAATTCAGGTTAATCCCAGGATGCCAAACCATAGGCAACGCAGATCAACCCTTGTAATGCTGTGTAATGCCCACTATGCATGGCACATCGCTTACAAAAGATATCACACTTTATAAGGGAAAAGTTGCTGTCACACAGTTTCAGTGAAAGCACACAGCATGAAAGCAACACACAGTATGTACAACACATAATCAGGAGGAATTCAACTCTAAAACATAAACAAAATATTAAACGTAGAAATATTATAAACATACTATGTTTTATTATTATACTTTATTTCTAAAACACCAACACCTTACAAAGCGTGGCCATACTCGGCTTCTTATGCAGTGCCACTAGCATGGGGTTTCCTTCCCACAAGCCATTGTGTTTGAGAGATACTTGAGCTCCAATTCAAGTTAATCGAATTATCTCTCAAATAGGAAAACTTACATACAATTTTTACATATCACAAAAAGACATGACAACAGCATTGGAACCCCACAAAAATTATATTCCGGAATAGTCCTGATCTGAGCGCACGACATATCCAAAATGCGCTCAGATCGGTTTGGTAAAACGAAAGTTATGTTCGTGCATAAATGAACTGGCTTCCTGGTAGAGGTGGTATTGATAATTTCAAAAGGGGTTGATTTGATTGTATGGGAGGTCAGAGCTAACAACCTAAATTTCTCTTTGAAGTGGGACCCCACCAGAGCTACTCTGTAAGGTGTGAGAAGTCAACATAAGTGGCCTGGGAGTCTGGTGTCAGCATAAATTAACTCTCTCATTTGCCATATGTCTTGATTCCCTCATAGATAAGGAGTCCTTTGACATGAATAAGCCTTGTGTTCCAATATCATATCCAAAAGAGACATTAATACCTATCCACAGATTAATACTCAAGCCTAATTTTTATCATATTTAGATTCTTCCAATCCAGCCTAAACATGATTTGCGAACAAGGGGACCCCACAGAATCTGTTCAGTAATCGAACAATAGGGAACAATTCCATTCAAATGCAGGGAAACATTAGACGATACAAAGTATAATTAAGGGAACACGTATGAGGAGTCCCATCTCCCGTGACAAGTACTGGACAGGGAGTGGTGCTGAAGAACTCCCTACATGGTCGTAGTGCCTGTTGCACAGCTTGCACATGATGTGCTTGGGCTTTGCTGCCCAGGGGCAGTTCCCTAGTGTCCCCAGATAAGGGACACGAGGAAACTAAAGCGGGGTGGCGGCAAAGCCCCCTGGATTTATTACTGCCATGTGTTTCTGTGTATAGATGCCCTGTTCATTATTCTGGTGTTCATTTTAATTCTGCATTCTGCGCCCCTTTGGACTTTTACACAAATGAGTGGTCGCATCATTAATGTGTTCAAATTGATGTGACTCGCAAGCCTCAATCTTCACACATGATTGATGCACAGGAATGATATTGAATGAGAAAATGTACCCTATTTAAAGTAACACTATAGGGACAGAAACATAAACATGTATTCCTTACCCTGTAGTGTTAAAAACACAATCTACCCTCCCCCCACCCCACCCTACCCCACCCCAGCCTCACATCTACCCTATATATAAAAAAATCTTATCTTTATTGGATCTGCCCCTGATCTGCATCCTTGGTTGGCATCATCAGAAGTGGTGATCTCAGTCAATCATAATGCTTTCCCATAGGAAAGTCTTGGATTGGCTGAGCTTGTCAAGGAGGCAGATCAGGGGCAGAGCCAGCACAAGCCAAACACAACCCTGCAAATCAGCATCTCCTCATAGAGATGCATCAAATCAATGCATCTCTATGAGGAAAGTTCAGTGTCTTAATGCAGTGGGTGGAGACACTGAATGTCAGTGCTGCACACTGGGCAGCATTGCCCCAGGAAGCACCTCTAGCAGCCATCTGAGGAGTGCCTAATGGAGGTATCCCTAGGCTGTAATGTAAACATTGCATTTTTTCTAAATAAAACAGTGTTTACTGCAAAAAGCCTGAATGGAATGATTATACTCACCAGAACAAATACAATAAGCTGTTACATAGTTACATAGTTACATAGTTACATAGCTGAAAAGAGACTTGCATCCATCAAGTTCAGCCTTCCTCAGAAATGTTGTTGCTGTTGATCCAAAAGAAGGCAAAAAACCTGGTCTGAAGCACTTCCAATTTTGCCACAAACTAGGAAAAAATTCCTTCTTGACCCCAAAATAGCAGTCAGATGTCTCCTTGGATCAAGCAGCTATTACCCCACTAATTAGAAATTATATCCCTGTATGTTATGTTTTTGTAAGTATTTATCCAATTTCAGTTTAAACATCTGTATGGACTCTGACAAAACCACCTCTTCAGGCAGAGAATTCCATATCCTTATTGTTCTTACTGTAAAAAAACCTTTTCTTTGCCTGTTGTTGTTCTGGTGACTATAGTGTTCCTTTAAACCATTTTTCTTGGTAGTCAGGTGTCTTGTTGTTGTTTACTGTCTGATTTACGTTATTAACCTTGGCTTATTACTCATTTCTCTGCCTTCTCCACTTCCCGGCCTTTAGCTGATAATATCATTTATCCTAATTCCTTTTTATTTTTTGACCTTGGCTTGTGTATTCCACTGTTTTTGTAGTATTACCTACTATAATCTTTCCGTTAACCCGGGTCAAAGGACCGATGATACAGAGTATCCTGCTGACTCTATTTCTTATTGGATCTTGGATTCAGGTTAATTCAGTCTGATTTCAGGATATCATTTAGCTTAAAGAAATAG